TAGCCTGCACTTGTAAAAAAGTTTTAAGACCAAAGGCATAAATCGATGGGAGAACTAAATCTTGACTAAAAGGAATCATGAAAAATATGATTTCATTTATCAAATATTAAGATCCTTTCCCCCCAGTGTAATCTCACACACTTTCCCGTAGATCTGGTCTCTAATTTGCTCCTGCCAATGTACAGCATATGGCCAATTATTACACACAAAACATTTATTATTAATGAGCAGGCCGGAGGGGTTGAAGGGGACAGCATGGACACCATGGCCGCAAGTCGATTAGACCAATTAGTGTGGGTATTGACAATTGCGGACATTGCAATTAATTAATCGGAAATGTAAATGTAAACGTCCAGTGCATATGCACAAGTTGAGTACTGGTCGATATATGGCCAATCTAGGACCACTAATTGCGATCTCTCCGCCCTCGAACACTCGCTTTGATGTCATAATGGCCACCGATGAGTGACCTCTTTGAGCGGTCCTAAGCTTCTAGCTTTTCCAATGGCTAGAAAAGTCTAGATGAGGAGGAGGAAAAGGAGATGGAGGAAATCTGGGTGGGCAGAGATGGATTGGGGGGGGGGGTGTAACACACGATTGACACAGTTATTAAAAACGACATGTAGAATTGGCATTCAGGCATGCGGGCAACGACATGGCCATCGACATACTTAGGCGCATAGTTTGACAGAGCCGAGAACTGAGGATTGAGGAAGGGAGTGGGCAACGGGTGCCAGTGCTAACTTGGCTGACAGGCGTGCAAAGTGGCCAACAGCAGGGTGCCACGGCCCTTGTCGATGTCGAGATGGCATGCCACTGGCACTCAAAACGGAAAAGGAAACATTCCCCGAGATTTCCTTTAACGAACAACAGGGGGGAAAGTGTTAAGGAATTCAATTAGGCAGATGAGTGGCTATATGAATGTGGGCGTAAGAGTCTATGCTTGTTGCCTGTTATAAAAGTGCTGGCCAAGTCAAAGGCAAAAGTCAGAGACATCTGACACTTCACATGCCCGGATGAGGAGCCTTATTGGCCTCAAGTTGTGACTAAGCTGATGTAGCTGATCCCTGGCCAGAGATGAGTTTCATGGGGCTTAGAGCTCAACTTTTCAATATATATCAGAGTGCCATCGAATGTGGGTATAAAACTTGGTAGTTATTCAATATTTTTCTTCAAGGCAATCAGACTTGTGGTCATAAAATGCAATAGTTAAAGAGCGTTTAAAAGGTGTCCAAGATATAGAATAAATATACTCATAGAGAGGATTTTCTAAAACTGTTTTCTCTGCTGTTTCAAGATGGGACTCAACTATTCATCCTCCATTTCTGCTATGCATGTAAATAGATCAAACATTATTCATGATCTGGGATAGTTTTAGCGGGAGTGCTTTTCAGCATTATGCGTCCATTTATCATTCATGTTTCTGCAGTGAGACTTTGTTCGCCGACTCTGTTTGCTCAGCAAATGTTGTGGTGGAGTTTCAACGGGTGGCTCCATTAGAGGCACTGTCGAGATGGCGTCGCCACGTACCTCGAACCTCGAGCTCAACTGAAGCGTTTTAATTGCTGCATAAATATTAGCTTAAAATTAGCTCATTGTACGCCGGATAACGTTCAGTTCAAGCTTAGATTCAGACTCTATTGTGTGCTTATATATATATATATATATATATCTCAGTTTCTTGCTCTCTCTGTGTGTCTTGCCATAGTCAATTACCACATATTTGTCTATAATTAATATGCTTTCCATGCAGCTTGAGAGTTGTCCCGTTGCAGGCTAAGGCTTTAAGCAAATAGCTATCAATTCTAGTGAGTCTGCAATCGTCTGGGAAGTTTTCGATTATTCAATTGCAACTTTATTCTAGGAGTTGCCTCTTTCAGAACTTTTAATGTTGCTGCTCTTGCAGTTGAATAACTCGCGCAGCATGTTCGATTTTCGTTCGTTCTTTCGTTTATTTATTTATACTGTTTGCTGGAAAATCCGCTCAATTTTCCCCTATCCAAAGGTAATAGCTTTGTATTTGCCCCTGTTTATACTTTCTACGCTGCAAATTAATTTCAGCTCTGCCAAAAGAGTGCATACCTGTTCATGTATGCACCGTGATAGCATGTGTGGTAATGCCTGTTGATGTACAAAAAATGTTACATGCGAAATCACTTTAAAAACCATCGAATATTGCCATGAAAGTTCTATAACATTTTTGGGAAAATTTTCATGTGTTAGGGGTACTTGTATACATTACAAATTCAAAGCCAACTACTAAATTATTATCAAGTAAAAATGAAAATGTAAGCCTCTTTAATATTTAGAAACATCCTAACGATCCTATTTTCCCTTCACAACAACATTTTAAAATTTATTTCCTTGCATTCAAATAGCCAAACTTTTGTAAATATTTGAAAGAATTTTACCAATTCCAATGAAAGAAATGCATTTTATCTGATGCTCAAGAAAATAACAACAATGAATATGCAAATCTTTAAGAAGTTACAACTTTTAAAACTCTTAGCACGTTTATTTTTTTGCATTTTTTTTGGCTAAGACGTTAAGATGTGTTGCATCTGCTGTGTGTGCAACATTGGCACTCCCCTCTCAGCCGTTTTTCCGTTCTGGCATCAATCAAGATGATACTCTTCCTTCGTTAGGAAAGCTTCTTTTTTTTTTGTTCGACACTTTGTAGCAGCCTCATGCTGCAAGGACAAGCTAAACGTATGCAAATCATTATGTTAATCGGGCGCCATCAAATTTTTTGGCGTCATTCATCACATTGAGCCACACTTTGCACTTGGTAATAGCAGTGCCTCGGTTTTTCCGCTTTTCTCCCACTCTTTATCCCCTTCCTAACTTCCCCTAACCCCTTCTCATCCCGCCTAAGCCCCCTGTCTAAACCCTTCTTACCCCTCTCTTTGGACCGCTGCTTGCTTTGCTCTTGCTGCTGCTTAGCGCCCGCGTGGCTAAGCCGAAATTTACACAGGCACAGCGAGTTGGTCGTTGAGTATGCTTGGTTATGCTGAAATTTGCACTTTTCCGAGCTCACATACACACTTATACATGCAGTGAAAAACACACACACACATACACTAACACGAGCAGAATAAGTAAACAAGTTTAGTATAATCAACGGTTGGCTGGCTGCCGGGCTATACAAAAAAGTGTTGCACATCCGCTTACATAACCCACACTAGCAACCGAATCCCCATGAACATGGAGATGACGTAGTATATGTTTTTATTAGCATGCTTTGTATGCCCGGTATGCTGTCAGGCTCACGACCAAGTTAGGGGGCTGCATTTATCAGTTGGAAATAAGAAGGGGAAGCGAAAGGGGGGGGGAAAGGGATTCATCTGTCTCACGGTGCTCGTAAAACCACATTACCTGTGATTTCCGAACACACACAGGATGGCTTGTTCATCAGCGTTGCAGTCGAGCACGAAGCGATTGGGATATCTGCTGGTGGCCCTTTGGCGCCTTTGTGCCACGTTCATTGAATGTTTTCCTATTAATTTTTTATTGAATGATGTTTTTTTTTTTCTTTCTTCTTATTCTTCCTACTACTACCCAGCATACTTTCACGCAGGATGGAGGCAGCTCATTCCCTGCGGCGACATGCTAACTTTATTCAATTCCTACGCTGCTCATGTGGAACACACACTCGATGTCCCATCTATCCATCTCGCTCACTAACTGCATCCAACAGTCTCTTTCTACCTTAGGTTGCTGTCTCTATTTTTAGCCGGACAAGAGGAGCCCGAGTAATGTGCCTGAAAAATTGCTTGTACTTTAGAACGCATCCCAGTTGAAGGGATAGCGATTTAGGGCAATCGAGTCAAGGATACCCTTGGAAATAATCCATAAAAAAGAGTTTAAAACTAGATTTACTGCTTTCTGGAAGGTAAGTTCTTATTTGATTTCAGTTAATTAGGTTAAAAACATATTAGAAATGAAATAGGTAATGAAAAGCTAAGGAATTCTACCATCTAAGCATGTTTTTATCAAAATAAACAAGAAAACGAAGCCATTAAATAAAAGCTATTCCCCGTAGTATCTTTGGTAATCTCCTAACTCCCATATACCCCATCTATACCTCTGAACTCCCGCTGATGGGGCAACAAATGAGCAACATGATGTGAAACATTTTGCTAGTTCCTTAAACTGAACAAAAGAGGCAGGAGGAGGCGGGGCAGGAGAAGAGCTTGGCAAGCTGGTTAAGCCTGGTATGCCACTCCATTTGGAAGACGTTTTTTTACGGTTCGCCACAAGCCCATAAAAAACCTCCAAAATGGGTGACACACAAAGGAGTCACACACACACAGGCACACCTTGCACACTCAGACTCCGACACACGAAGGCAATGAAATAAACAAAGCCGCAGAAAGACTTACAAACCTCAGCGGAGTGAAAAAGATGGGCATACCGTGAGCAAAAGAGATGAAAAAATGCGAGAATGAAGAGAAGGGTAGTAGGCAAATTGCTGAGGAGACCAAAAGCCGGACCGCTGTCAAAATTATCGAGCAGCAGGTGTGCGCTTCTTCTTTTTACTCATTCTCCCTTCTTTTTTCTTTGCTCTCTCTCTCTCTCTTTCTGCCTCACACAGCCACTGGCATTATTGCTTTTGTGGCTTTTTGGTAAATATTTTGCATAAAATATCAATTTCATATGCAAACGGCCAAGCATATGTACGAAAACGTGCGACTGCAATGACGACTTCAGCTTAATGAAATTTAAATAAAAAGCTGCAAGTGCAAACTTCATAAATTATAGAACATGTTTTCCCAGCCATCACTCTCTATCTTTCTCTTTCTCTCTCACACTCTCTCTTGGCAAATCTGCCAGAGGCTAGCTTGTTCTAAATAATGTTGCATAACTTTTGGGGCCGCAACTTTGTACAAGTCAGTGTTGTTGAGCTGTCAGATACGAGTTTTCTTGCTTTGGTTTGGGCAAATGCAAATGATGGTTATTAAAATTCCCGGGAAAAGGTCTTAATGCTATTTCCCCCGTTACCCCACTTAAGATTAATTGAGAGCATTTGAGGTGACATTAAGCTGGACCCGAAAATAAAGGACCTTCCCACGAGTAAATCACAAAAAAAAAGAGATATATACCCTAGCAAATGGCCATTTCACTCAATTTGGCCTAGTCACAGCGATAAAATTGGAAAGAGATTTACTTGTTGATTTCCAACGTAATTGAATTATCCGCGAATAAAGTGCGGACGAAATGGGTCTCGACATTTTCCTCCCCAAAGGGCAAACAAATTGGTGGAAAAGGCTGGCCGAGCCGAAAAATTAATTTCATTTTGGTGTATTTACGGGGAATTTTTTGGGGGCACCAACATTTTCGGGACTAAATACACAAATTTAATAGCAATTTTAAAAATTGTTGTTGGGCCTGGTATGATGGTAAATTCACTTGTGTTTATGGGTTCAGATGTCAAGGCTATATATAATAGATATTTCCATCACAGCTCATAACCCTTGCGGTCATTTTAAAAACACACAAATGTCCAGTCAGCCATTTAAAAGTTAAATTGAAAATAAATAACTAGATAGGTAAAATGTCTGGTAAACGAATAGGTAACATCCATGTCATATTCCAACCCCTTTTTCTCCAAGCCCAAACATTTTTTTGTTTTGTTTATTTATTTGTTAATACGATATTTACGCCCCTTAAATGGAAATGGGAGAATTTCCAATCAAAACGGGACCAGTGTTAGTGGTAACCGTATCACGTAGTCTGTTAACGGAAGAAATAAATATTTCAGGCACAATTTGAGGGGCGGCAACGGCATCCACTTAGCGTGGCACCCCCACACATTTTTTTTTTGTTGCCCCCCCAATGGCTTTCTATATAAGTTGGAGGAAAAACCGAGGCCGGTTGAAAACCCAACATGGAGGCCAGCTACTTTGCTGTTCAGAGAAGAGCACTGGAAATAGTTGGATTTGATCCGAGTACTCCTCAACTACGACTGATTCATCCCATTTGGGCTGGGATACTCATCCTGTCCTTGGTTACCCACAATTGGCCAATGGCTGTGTATGCTCTTCAGGATCTCTCTGATATAACACGAGTCACGGATAACTTTGCAGTGTTTATGCAAGGATCGCTGAGTACCTTCAAGTTCCTGGCTATAGTAGCAAAAAGAAGACGCATTGGTTCATTAATCCATCAACTACATAACCTTAACCAGAAGGCCAGTACCACGCTCAGTCAGCTAGAAAAGATCCAGAAGGAAAACCAACTAGATAGGTATGTCTCGAGATCTTTCAGAAATGCTGCCTATGGAGTGATTTGGGCCTCGGCGATAGCTCCCATGTTGCTTGGCCTGTTAGGATATATAAGGACGGGCATGTTTACACCAACAACACCGATGGAGTTCAATTTCTGGCTAGATGAGCGGAATCCTCAATATTATTGGCCCATCTACTTCTGGGGCGTGTTGGGCGTGGGAGCAGCCGCCTGGTTGGCCATTGCAACGGACACTCTATTCTCCTGGCTAATACACAATGTGGTGGTTCAGTTTCAGTTACTAGAGTTGTTACTCGAAAAGAGCGATCATAATCAGGAAGATGATTCTCATCTAATTGAATGCATTTACCAACATCGCTTGGCTCTTGATTTGGCCAAGGAGCTTAGTTCAATTTTCGCCGAAATCGTCTTCGTCAAATACATGCTAAGTTACCTGCAATTGTGCATGTTGGCCTTTCGATTTAGCCAAAGTGGCTGGAGTGCCCAAGTGCCTTTCAGAGCCGCCTTTCTAGTGGCCATTATCATTCAACTAAGTTCCTATTGCTATGGCGGTGAATATCTGAAGCAGCAAAGCTTGGGTATTGCTCAGGCCGTTTATGGTAATTGCAATTGGCCAGAAATGTCACCGAGGAAAAGGAGAATGTGGCAAATGATGATCATGCGGGCCCAAAGGCCAGCAAAGATTTTTGGTTTCATGTTTAATGTGGATCTGCCATTGTTACTTTGGGTGAGTTAATAATATTGATGAATAATGTTTTATTTATATTATAAATATTATATCTGACAGGTCTCCAGAACGGCAGGCTCATTCTTGGCATTACTGAGGACTTTTGATCGTTCTCCAACTTAATTTTGGGACACAGAAAACTAAATCTTTAAATACCTATTATGGACAATCATTTACACTTTCAACAAATGATATAAAAAGCTGAGAAAAAAACCTGCAAAAAAGCTTACCTAGTAAAATGTCAAACGGTTTGCTACTTTTGAAGTGATAACTCAAAGTTAGCAACATTTTATATCTTCTAACCTAAACCCTAATTAGTTGGCATTTGATTTTTACATGTTTTTGACGAGCTCTGCAGCCCCGGAGACATCTTTACCTCCGGATGCAGTAAGCACATACATGCCACAGGCCGATGCCACTGCAGGCGGAGCATATGAAATTCATGAGCGAATTCCACAAAGGTACTAGCTAGCAGAAGCAGCTCATGCGTGTGGCCATGATGGCAGTCGGGCAGACAGGGATATATATCCAACTACATGAAGATATATATATATATATATGTATAACGCAGGTAGCCGGGAGTTGGAATTTGTTAACTGAAAGTATGCAACGGCAAAGCAGCATCGTTCAGGTGGAGAACAAGTTACTGAAAAATAGCTACTCGAACTATGTGCACCATTCTGTTTGCCAGCCAATGGGCCCAGGGCCTCGGGCCCTTCATCCGACTCAGCCGGTTCTTGAGCTAGTTTCGGGGTTCAGGATCAGGTGGAATGCGGCCTTAAAGCCCCTTGCTTGCTGTTGCCCTTCATCATACTTCATCCTTCATCCCTGTACGGATGTTGTGGAATGTTGCCTGTTACGGAATTTTCGGGCTTTGGTACTCTGCTGAGATTTGAATTCAGTTGAGGAGGCAGCCGAAGTCGCCAGGACGGAATTTGTTTTATTAAATTTTGTAACTCGGTATTTTGCACATGCAATGGACTGTATATATCTCTCACCCTCTTTATCACGTTGTTACCAAGAAGCTATGACAAATTGTGCGGGCGTGGGAATGTTCACCTTGGATTATGTAACAAATTAGGACAACGCCATTGCGGGCATAATTAATTTTTGTCTCTGACATTTGATTTATTGGTCTGCGTTGGTCAGCATCTTTGGCTTGACTTTGACGCAAAAAACAAATGAGCGTCGATTAATAAACGGGAATCGCTTGTGGCCGCATTACGCACCTGCGGCATAAGCAGCAAAATCGAGCATTAACCTGGTATAGCCAACGCTGAGCGAGGGGAGGAGTTATAACTTTACAGCAAATTGTGGCCAAGATAAGAGGGCCAGCAAGCACAAGTTGAAAATAGTGGCGAAAAAAAAAAACATCAACATTTTATGTGTATTAAAAATGGGAACAAAAACGACCAGGAGCGGAGCACAGATTTTGTTTGCGGTTCGTTGAGCACACAATAATTCCATCAGCAGCAGCAGCAGCAGTAGCGGGAAAAGAGGGCGTGGCTGGGAGGGAGAGGCAATGGGAGAGAGATAAAAGTGCCGGCAGCACTTTCCCTGCACTGCTTCTTTTTTCGCCGTTGTTGTCGTGTATTGTGTGGTCAGTACCACAGGGCGAATGGTTAATAATCGAACAAAAAAGTCCTTAAAGCTGTCGAGCTTTGGGCCAACATTTATTCAAAGCAAATTGATATTCAAAATTACAAATTCAAATTAAATATATACTAATTCAGGTTTTTTTACCGCGAGCAGTACTTCTGGGTATATTTTTTACATTCCAGAGCAGAAAAACCCTTAAACCTTCATAACACTTGACAGTCATTTATTCAAATGAAATTGATATTCCAAATTCAAAACCAAATTAAAATGAAAGCCTCATGGCGTGGTGCCCCTAAATGTAGGCAATATTAGGGCCTAAAATGCCATTCCATAAACGAAATTCGCTAATTTAAGTTCTTAAAGCGGATGAATGGACAAACATCTATTCAATGGAAATTCAAATTTCCAACTGCAAATGCTAATTCAAATTAAATGCACAAATTTCAACCCGTTTTCACGGTAATTCCACCTTTTTTGTTGGACAAACCACCTTCTTCTTCCACACTAAAACAGAAAATGGGAAACAAAAAATTTGTCCCGCTTTAATCGGGCCTGTGTTTGCCAAAGCTATATTTCCATCTGTATATATAACATATTTTTCGGTTAAGCATACAAGGCGGCTGTGCAGGGCCGTGGTGAAACTTTTCTAATTAAAATTGTGCGGCTTGTTGAAAGGTTTATAGCAGGAAAAGGACCAGGAGAGGGTAGAGGGGAGAGATAGCCAGTTTTAATAGAAATTACATTAATTAATTTTTAAAATATGCTTAAATACACATTTCTATGCATTAATTAATACGGGCTCAAACACACACACAGACTCACAAACAGCATGTAAACAATGAAACGTGACTAGAACTAACAACGAGTTTGAACCAAAAAAAAAAACGATGCCAACCCAACTCTTGTCCTAAACGGGGATTTGGCTAATTAAAATACGCCCACTTAATTTGTTGTTTATTTGGTTAAATCCAATTTTAATTGCTGGCCAAAGTGGAGCGAATTGTATATGAAAATTGACAGAGAGAGAGGTCAAACAACGTCGGTGATTACAATGTTTTATTGACTGTTTTCGCCACATAATTGCCAGCGATTTGGACATTGTCCAAATCGACTTGTTTTGCCCCCTCGAGACTGAGACTGAGACCGAAACCGAAACCGAAACTCTCGAACTGTTATGTTATGTTTTTACCCCCAGATATCAGATATCTTTATCGCTATTTTTGTCTCTTCAACTGAGTTTGGTAACTTTGATTTACGCCACCCCAGACCTAACCCATTTTTATGGGTCTTTGTGTGACCCATTTGAACGTTCGGCTTGCAGCAAGTCCCTTGCGTGGATGCCACATGCATGACAAGCACTTATGCAAATTATATGGCGTACTTATGTGCGGGCAGAGGATTTGACTTTATTTGCCGGAATTTCAATGGATTTTTTTTCTCCCCCCAACAGCAGTAAGTTTTGGATACAGGAAAATTAAAATAAAACATAAATGTGTATTACTAACTGCAATGAGAGTGTGCAAGCGAGTTGAAGCGAAAATGGCTCATAACATTTTTGGCTGGTTACAATTTTGAATTTGAGAATTTAAAGAAGTTTAGTGGGTTAAAACTATCTTTTAGTTAAATTTAGTAAGAGAATAATTGCAGACTTTTAATTTGCTAAAAACCTTCCCATAAGTCCCACATATTTTCAAAGAGTAATCAAGAAATTCAATGAAAATCTTTCAATAAATTTTAATGACTTCGAGCATATAAGGAACTGATTGAAAAGAAAAATCTCACATTTTACGGCTGAGTAAAAATTGCACATGAACTCAATCAACATATTTGCACACTTTAAAAGAAAATGTCTGCACTTAAAAGCATTTTCAAATTGGAATTTCCGCAGAGAGAGAGCCAGGAAAATGTTAATTAAAAATCACCGAAATTATTTTTCGTCTTCCTCGTGATATGGCATTAAATAATCACCGCATAATTATCATTATTTGGCTAGAGCAATTATATGCAATAATTGATGCTGCCACAGAGCCCACCCAAATTGCAATTACTTTATGCATAATTAAATTATAATTCATTAGACATGAGCCAAGGGCTCCGGACGCGTCTAAATCATGGGCCCAATTAAATATTACCGATGCCAAAAACATTTTCCAATTTACAATCAAATAAGAGTAAATCAATAAGCTTAAAATGTATCAAATGAAGGGTGGGGTAGTCCCCACCCTAAATGTATATTATTAAAAGGAAATTTTGATATAGGGGGGGTCTTGACTCGACTCAATTCGGTGAATCCTGGCGGACTTAAGAAAGATGCAAGGATAAAATTGGTATTGTGATTATACTACACTTAGACAGAGAGAGTTTAAGGGGGGGTGGGATTGCAGAGTGGGGGGCTGATGATATGGAAATTACAAATGCCTTTGTTTGTGCAGAAGTCAGACAATGTGAAATTGTTTAGAAGCGACAACGCGCGACAAGAAAAACGCAGAAATGTATATTTGAAAAATGACTTTTCTTCTATAAAGATTTTGTTGATGTTTTTTCTTTCTCAAGGAATGCGAATGAGTCTGCTATTTTCTTGTTGCAATGTCGCATGAGTTTGTGATTTCATTGTGTGTGTGTGTGTGTGTATATGGGTGTGTGTCTTATTGGCAGTGGATTTTGAAAGTGTGTAATGTGAATTCAATTATATTTTTTGCAAATCGTTCTTATAGCTTTTTTTTTTCTTGTGTACATTACAATTTTGGGATCCACTCCGGGCTTGGGATTGGCCTTCGTTGACTTCATGTCTCTTTCTTTTCGTAACGCCCTCTCTCTTTCCTAGCCGTCTCCTCGATTTAGGGAGTATATATTTTCAATTTTGTTTCTGCGGTTGGATATTGCCGTTGCCGTTGCCGTTGCCTTGCTTCCTGTTTGCTGTTTGCCTACTGTTTTAATTATTTTGCCTCATTTGATTTGCCGTCCCTTTCTCTCTTTGTAATTAAATTCTTTTGACCATAGTTTATTTATTTATGCATTTTATGAGGCGATTTTTCAGCATTCGATTTCCACGCGCTTGTTTGCTTTCCTTTTTTCTGCTGGCGAAACCTTTTTTATTTTGAATCATTTGTTTTACAAAAATGTTTGCGGCTGTTTTTCTTCGGTTTTCCGTTGGTGTTTTCAATTGTATTGATATTTGGATATTTTGTATTTATTTTGTTGTTATTTACTAATAAAATGCATGTAAGTCAGTCCGTCGTTTCAACATTTTTTTTGTTTGTTTGTTATGTCTTGTATATATTTGGTTTGTTTGCTGGAATATGAGAACATAACCATGAGCACTTTAGTTCGAAACTTGATATTTTGAAGCACTCAAAATATTGGGCAGTCAGCCGGAGGCAAGCAATTGAAAAGCAATTATCGTGGGAAAGTTGCAGCTAGCAGCTTGCAATGAATGTTGCTGCTCATGTTGCAACATGAGCAAGGGAACAACAAGTGCATGCTAAGGACAGCCGCACCCACCAAGCTGCCACGCCTATTTCGCCACGACAATTCCGCTAACCGTTTGCACTTGGCTTTCCCAGCATTTACACACTTTTTTTTGCTGCTTGAAAATACACACTAAACTGGTAACTATTAGTTGCGGTTTCTACATTAATATATATTTTGATTTTTGAATATTTGAAATTATTTATTTTTTTTTTTTTTGAATATTTTCTTGAATATTTCTCTAGCCCGATTTCGAAACGTTCCAAGTCCAAGGCGTGCACAGCGCTCGGCGCTCAGAGGAAAAGACAACTTGATCACAGCATGGAAAATGTTCAACTGACCGAGTGGCTATCCTGTAGACCAGCAGAGAAGCTGCGGCTTTATCAGCTCGTGGCTAAAAATCGCTCGGCCAGCAATCAGCTTCGGCAAGCTCGTCCTTCGTCTCGGCACGCAGGACTCGTGCCTGTAGTGGCTCGTGATGTTCGTGTTTTGGTTCGTTTTCGTGTCCTGTGCTCGGGAAGCAACATGTTGGACACATCCACATCCTTGGCTCCTGTTGGCCCTAGAAAATCTCAAAATATGAGTGCAACTCATTCGTCCTGTGTCGTCACGTGTTGCTTTTGCTGGCATTGAGACGGAGCTTCGAGTGAAAGCTGCATTTGTTTTGCTCGCCTACGCCCTATGAGTTGGTCCTCGGTCTCTGGCTCCACCATGGATTCCCAAGGAAGCTTCCATACCGATGATGATGCTGATGATGACGATGATGATGTGGTGCGTCCTCGTTCCCGAACATTGGATATCCTTCGCAGCGGAAATTATATATGACGAGATATGTATTACTTTGCCATCGAACAAAGGGAATGCGCTTCGCTCCTCTTTGCCATTCAGCTTGCCTGTGAGTTGAGTTTTGATCAGCATTTGGTAATTGAGGACGGGTTTGTTTCTTTATGCACAAATACCAAAAAAAAAAGCAAACATTTTGTTTATTTTAGAATAAACTGCATGAGGCCAAGACTCCAAATCAAGAATGTCTATTAGCTTACGCCATGAAGAACATACGAATTTGATTCCCAGCTCTGAGACTGGAATTCCCAAGACTTTCCGGCGGTGTTTCAGATACCAGCAGTGTTTTCCTCTTTGGAAATAAATATATTTTGAATCTAAAAGCTCCTAGACAGCCAATTAAAATCACCCACAAAATGTTAAATTTTAAAATAAACTTAAAGTTATTTGAAGGAACTTCCCAATTCTGCTGCGACTCGTTTGACAATCATTAATCAAGTTATTAATATTAATAACATCACAATTTATTTTAATTTAAAATAAAGCACTATCTGTGACATTTTCTGTGTTGAATTTTCCAAAAACTCCCAACCAACTAACATTTTCCTAACGATGTACACTTTTTGACTGATAGCGATAGCATAACTTTTTCGGTTATTCTCCAAAGGGGCATTCACACATGACTGCATCGCCGCTGCTCAAGTAGAGCGGCTTAGAAGGTGTTTTCCGGGGTGGAGAGAAGAGGATGAGAGCTATGCCAGAGACTTTGAACAGAAGGTTAGCTGCATCCAGACTCCGGCTCTGCCATAATGCAATTATGCATTGCCTGGCGGCACAGCTCCTTTGGTACGAGTAATAAGCATTTGCATTTTCACAAAATGTAGAACACAAGTCGCTGAAGAAGTTGCCGCTTTGTAGGTTTCCAGAGTCCTGTTTTTCAAACCCTCCGCCTTCTTCAGCCCCTTTGTTTAACCCCTTTCGTTCATCATCAGCCGGAATGGACCTACGGCCATGTTCGCGTGGCATGAGTTTCATGCTCATAATTTGTGCACTTTATTAATAAAGTTTGCCAACTCGGCTTGGCCCAGACAGAGTGGAAATACACAAAGCCGTGTACAAGAAGAATATAAAAAATGTTATAACAATTTTAAAACAATAAAGCTCTAAGAACTTGTGTTAAACAAACCACAGTTTTAGGTTTTTCCAGCTAGTCACATAAACTAAACCGCGACCCTATATGCGCTCTAATATTGTTGATTGATGAGAGAAGTTTAAGAACATGTTTTCAATATTTTTAAAGGGGGAGACCTTTTTCTATTATAAATATTTTCCCAGCCTTTGAAGAGCTTAAGAAGTTCAAGAAACGAAGTTTTTGGTTTGCTGAAGAAAGTGTTTATTTAAGTAACCGGGAAAGTTGCCAGGAGGAGTCGGTAGAGTTCTATCGTCCAACCCAGAAACCTTCTACTAGTTCCTAGTTATTTTGCCCGCTTTGGCCACTTTGTCCTTGTCCACCCTGCTGGTTGCTATTTCCATTGCCATTTGGCGGTCTTGGCGGATTTCCCTGCTGCTGTCCATTTTGACCCTGGGCAGTTACCTGCTGGGGCATTTGAACCTGCAAAACCACTGAGTTAGGCCAAGCGGCTGATTGAAAACCCTTCAACTCTTACCAAGCCCACAACCAGAATTAGTAGGAAAATGCTGAACAATGCGAACTGCTTCATGTTGAATTTGAAACTGATTGATAGCCACCACCTTTGCCCTTATATAGCACTCTATAACCCAATTGGCTGGCCCCCAAAGATTACAATCTCATGCCAATTAGCGCTCAAGCTTGGGAACAATTTGTTCAATCGTTTTGTAGTTTTGCAATTAAATTTTTATATTATTTTGCGCAGCGCGAAATTTGATTTATAATGTCTTAATTGCGTGTGTCACATCAGATTGCCATTATATTTGATAAATTTGAAATAAATAGCAAAATAACTAGGAAGAGGAGCTATTATTTTGGTATGTGATTGGAAAACAAATTTAATAAGCAGAATCACATGCTTTTAAATAAAGTTTAACTCAAAAGAACTCAAACAAAGTCGTTCCCTTAAAAAAGATACCCCAACTTGCCCAAGTTAACTTCTTTAGGTTGTCTTAGAAACCTTTTGTCCCAACGTTTTCCATTTTATTCATATTTAATTTTCCTCTGTTAGGTTCATAGACTCACACTCCAAAGAGCTCTCGAAATCAATTAACTTAGCATTATTATATTTTCATAAAGTTTGTCTAGGCAAGGTAAACTACTATCTATTATTCAAACTCGATTTTCTATTTTTATTCGGTCTTTTAATTTGAGCGTATGCCACAAACAATCCAGCCAGCACACCGCCATCGCCCACATATATGCCACCAATTTTTTGACTGACAGTACCCGTTTTTGTGTAGCGGTAACTGCTAGGGCATCCATATACCACCCATAAACCACCCAACAATCCACGTGCCCCTCCAAACCAACAACCGTGCTATGCAAATCACCCTGGGGGCATGGTCGGGCAAAGCAATTTCGCTCAGCATTTTCGAGCGTTGACTGGCAAAATGTCTTCGGTTTCAGTTTGAGATTAAATTTTGCCAAACGTTGGCCAAACAGATACAAGACTTTCTAGTTTCGCAAGAACCGATGGGCACCGCCCTCTCTTTTTCACCTGTCAGGTGTAGCCATATCAATGTGTGTGGACAGGAAGAATAAACAGTGTTGATCCGTTGATAGTTGAGATACGAAAACATACAGATTTGATTTGATAGTAAAGGAAATAGCTGAAACTGTCGTTTTATAACCAAATGTCTATTAAACCAAAACTAAGAACTTTTATATTCATTATATTTTTAGTAATAAAACCCTCTTTTAATAAAATTCCTTACAAAACTACAAAGTAGATTTTCTCTCTGTACTTGTGTGAGGGTTTTAAGGGTAATAAATGTCTCTGCCGCAGCGAAATATGAATATTGAATATGCCTATAGTCGCGGACTGAGCGGCTGAATAAACCGCTAGCGAGTGGTGAAACCATAATGCCATATAACCATTTCGGTACTGTGTAGGATGAAAAGGATATGGGTGGTCATATAAAGGACCAAGACTGAGGCCGAGAGACCGAAAATTCCGAGACCAAGACGACACCAGCATACATTGTGGATGAGCACTAATGAAGTCTCAGGCTCTCGTCCTTTACAGATGGCTGCCTCATTGTTTGACTTTGACTTTGCCACTCACTACCTTTCACTTCTAAAAACGCTGCCACGCCTCCTCCCTCCACTCCTCTTTATGTTACGCCCTCTTTTCCAGTTTGCTTACTCACAAATGTTTGCTCAGTCACTGCTTTTGTCCTTTGACCCCGCTCTCTGGCCGTACTCTTCTTCCACGGCCAGCCTATTTATTTATGTTTATAATAGGATTTTTATCAAAACTTTTCCCCGAATTAATTTTGTAATGAGTATTTAAAAGACACTCGCATTTGGACAAACAGAGACAGGACACACACAAAGAGACCCGCAGCGAGCCGTTTTGGTGTTTGTCTTTTGACACGCCCGATGCCCACTCAACTTTTCGTGACCACGCCCCCCTCTCAGCCCTCCTTCTACAAACATCTCTGTACCATCACCACCCAGAGCCCTCTTATCATGAAGCAGTCCTGGCTGGGAGCAGCAGGATGTGGCAGCCAACATTTATGGCTGATATCCTAAGATGGAGTCCTTTAAGGCAAACAGAAACTTGGCTAGCTAACTTTGAAAAATTCTATTTAAATCTCAATTATTTGTATGAAATGAATTTACTTAACTTTATTTAAAAATACTTTTTAATGATTTTTAATCATATTTCCTAACAAGAAATGAGCTTCTTTTCAGGCCTTTAAAGAATTCAAACATGAAATCACATTTTTTGTAGTATACTTTGTGGCTTTCTTTTAAAATCCTTTTAAGGCAAGTTTAGAGTCCCAGTAATTTATCATACTTTGTGTATAAGTAGTGTATACTAATGTTCGCTCATCTCCCTAAAGAATACTTGTCTGTTTTTTTTTCCGCACTCTCATTTGCACCACCAACTTTTTTGTTTTGACTAATTTGCTGCAATGTTCAGTCATTATAATAATGCCGGTGTGGATGTTTCGAGCGAGAGGGTCTGGAGTTGAGTTTTCTGTACTCGGGGTTTTGTACCGAAACCGAAACTAGATAATTGCCAAATATTTGCGTAAGTTGTCCGTGGTGCACTCATCTCATTACGGATTTAGACTGATGGAATGGGTTTTTCATGCGCATATTCAGGGTTTCCCAAGAATTGAGTTGGATGTAATGGTTTCTGGTTGGTGGCTATTACAGGGTATTAGGTGGTCAAACGCCCACACCACAAATAACTGCGGCTGTGGCTTTGCTTCATTTCACTGGCAAGCTGAATTTCCAAAATAATTCTCTGGTAGGCCACTGCCTTTGTGCGGCCCTTGGATAAACTATTAAAAGCCTGCCTAATTTTGTCCAAATTTGCTGTTTAAACATGGCCAATTTAATTTTTGGACTGCCGACAGGGCAGCCTGCCAAAATCAGCCTGGCGGTCGCTATATCGCTATTTTGCTTTTCACTTTTAGCCTGGCCAAGCAATTAAGTTTTGGCAGCAGAGAGGCCAAGAGGGTTTTCAGGGGTTTTTAGTCTATTAAAAAGCGCATTGCTCTAAATGCTGTTAAAATACATTTGAATGCAGCTTGAGTCTTCTGATTAAATCAGTTATGCGGCGAAGGGCAAAATGGGTTTTAGGGAAATGAATGGTGGCGTTGGAGATGGTGAAAACTACAACCACAACCATGGGGCAATCATTAAGGAAATCGCTTTGAAATGATGTGATGACTGCCGACTGTCGATTTGCCGACAGTTGACTGAAACAAACGCACACCGAATGGGAAATTGTGGCAAGGGCAAAGGCAAAAGCAAAAGCAGAAGTAAAGGAAAAGGCAAACTTTTCAAAGCATCATTAATCATGAAAAGTTCGGGCAGTCTTAATCCCTGGTCATGGCGTAATCCTTTGTGGAGCTGTCGATATTTGCTTGTGGTTTTTGCTCAAATTGGGGAAAATGAAAATGACAAAAGTTCTCTCGTCTTTCAAGCTAGCTATATACATATCTCTGTCGCTAGCGGAATTATGGTTTATCATATTTGTTTGGAATGCTTTGCATTTTTCTCCCCCTTGTGGTAAACATACACCCACACGCACACACACACACATATACGATCCCCTACACACAGAGATGACATGTCCTTTGTCTCATGCTCGTCCAAGTTTCCTGCGTTCCTTTTGTTTTTAACATACTGTTTTTTATTTTGTTGTTGTTATTTATTTTTTTTTTTGTTTTGTGCCGCTCACTTGGAAATACTGTAAATATTTTTAATTCTTTGCCAGCGCCAGAGGGGCAGCGGCATTTTCAGCTTTTAAGCTAAAGCTATGAAAATAATTTGGTCCCAGAAATACTTGCGGCCAAGCTGAGGCGTTTAAGGGTGTGCAGTGGGGCTACATGGGGCTACAGGGGGCGTGGCCTGTCCATGGCTAGGTCCTCTTTTGGCTGGATCCTGGAACTGAGCCTTGGTACATGAGCCTGGGCAATTGGAATGCCTTTTGTGGCTCGCAGTAACGTCGTCGTGTTGATTAAGCTCCCAGAGCCCAGCTACCAGCTTCCAATCTACCAAAAACAAAAACAAAAAACGAGCGCCAAAGTCAAAAGCTGAAAGAAAACGCGTTCTGGCCAAGGGGGCGCATTGTTGCCATTATTCCCGCTATATTCCCCAACAATCCGTCGTATTCCCCGTGCAATGGTGACATGGTGGCTGCCACAAAGTGCCGCTGCAAGTGGATAATAACTGACGGCAACTATGCGCATTTGTTTTATGCAGCAAAGTAATGAAACAACAGCACGGGCATCCACGCGCAGTACCAAAAATGACAACGCGCCCGTTTCCTTCGGGCGGTACAGCAACAGCAACAGCATCTAGCAAACCGCAGAAGTACAACAACAATGATAACAAAAAGAAAACGCAGAGAAAAATATGTACTTAATAATTAAAACTACTTTGGCTTTACGTTATATTTTAGATAAAAAAATTTTAACTCCTATGAACTCCTTATTAACTCGGTTTTGTAGCATACCTTTTAGCGCAGAAGATTTAATACAAAAACTCGACCATTTTCTTAAGAAACTCCCCCGTGCTAAAAACATAAATATTTATAAATCTAGAAAAAAAAACACTGATAATCAAATATGCATGAACAAAAAAACAGACTGAAATATTCAAAAGGCAATACGTAAATGGAGTAATTATCCTTTTGTCTCTGTGCATCAAAGCTTAAAGAAGCACGGCAGCAAAAACAACAAGAAGAGAAAAATAGACCAACAACAGAGCAACAAACTATGGTTCCTCCCGAGGAAATTGCGTGCATAGTGGAAAAACTTTTTCGCCGGGTCGAAGTCAAGAGCGGCTTCAACGTCATCAGCTGCTGGTGGGGTGGTGTTTTCCTTTCGCCTATTTTGAGTGCCAGCACAAAGCAAAGACAAACAGCAGGGCAAGCTCACGGGCGGCGGAGCTGCTTTGTCATGGCCGCTGATTTGGTTTAAGAAATGCATAGCAGCATTCCACATTTTCCACTCGGCGCTCACAATGAACGCAGGAACCAGCACGAAAAGCGGTGGAAAATGGGCGACCTGGTTGGGTGGCGGTGGTTACTTTGGAATGGGATGTTGCAGGAACAGGAGCAGGAAGCAGTGCCTGGCCGCCATTTTGGCCAGAGAGTGCGCTCGTGCATGCAGCAGTTAGCGCCTTCTTCCCACGGACTGTGGTTCACACCTTTGATACCCAAATCTCAGGCTATTATCTTCCAAAGGGATATTGCCAAATTGAGAGTTTCTATGTAAATGTTTATCTGTCTTGCTGCATACCACCTGCCTAGGCGTTTTGTTTGTCAAGGTCGCTGATTCACTTTTCCATTTCGCAGAAGTTTTTTTTTATTCCTATCTTCATTTTCTCTCTTGAAGGCCAGAAGTGCCATTCCTATCCTTCGTTTTTATGTCGCAGTTTCAGTTACCTGAAAGCCATTATCACCCTCTACTTTGGAAACTGTTTCTTAATCTGATTATGGCTCTTTATGTTTTCCTGGCTAAAGGATTCCACAGAATTTGAAAACTAGAAAGCCAACACTCAGCTTTAAATTCCTGTTTTATGATGTCTGAATATGCTGATGCCCATTAAGAATTTACTTGATTTTTTTACATTTAGGGGGTAGCTTTTTAATAGTTTATAAGGCTATTATCCATCATAAAGATTTTTATATAAGAAGGCATACGCTTTCTAAGCAATTTCGTATACTTAGATCCACTGTGCCCCGTCGTGCTAACACACAAATTAGTTTTAACCAGCCCTTGTCACGCTGCGGTGAGCCCCATTGTGCTGCCACCATTGCGGGCTGCCGATTAAGTGCGTCGCCTTGGAGAAGGGTTGGGCGTAGGGAATACGGAACCCCAACGTAGGTACTATATAACTAGAACTAGAAAGCAGGAGTCACAGCTGCTGCCTGTTGACATTTCAGTTCCTTTCAGCCAAAAGTTTGCACTGCCAACGCAGCGGGGAATCCTGAATTATCGACGGGAGGAGTAGTAGGAAAGGGGTAACGTCTTCTAATCAACATCTAATTATATTGCTCTCCACTCTAATGAAGGTGAGCCAAGGCATGCATGATTGATGATTGATAATTACGAATGAGGAGGAGGAGGAGAAGAAGGAGGGGTAAGGGGAGAATGAGGCATTCCGAACCATCCACATCCAAGCATCGACGACAACACAAATCAAGCAGCTCACAAATCTATGCCAAAAACACAGAAACTAATACTAACGCCCGTCTGCTATGGGTGAACGGTTGTTTGTGCTTGTGTTTGTGTGAGATGCAACATGTGATACACTGTCCTAGTTCCGCGTCCGTTACTGCGTTGTTATGCAACACAATGGCACACATAAACGTAGCAGGGGGTGGTAAACTTGGTCGGTGGGTGGTGGTTGCTTCTTGCAAAGGCATTGAGATTGAGCATTGAGCAACACCCAAAAAAAGCTTCACCGAAAACAAAAAACGCACTCAAAAAGCTAGCTCAAGTTTCGGCCAAAAAAACTCAAGCTCAAAAGCGGTTAAATGTCCCGTAACTTAAAGCTATATCATGTAAATATAACACAAGCTTACAAGCTAAGAGAGAGCTTTTCTCAAAGCCTTTCTACAGCCCACCAATGTAACAGTAAAGCTTTTCTAACAGCAACGCCTGGAAGTCCCTGAAAAGGGGTTTTCAATTCAAAAACAACTAACATTTAAAAACATCCAAAACGAAACTTTTTTTGCGATAATTCTGCAAAGATCAGTTTTTAAATATTTTAAGGTTTATATATCTTATTACCAAGATTTTTGCAGATTTATACCATCTTCGATCTTCCGAAGTTTTAGGTTCTAACATATCTTTATTGTTTTTTGTGCTTGTACTTACATTTCGTTAGGTATTCTAAATTTGAAATATAACGAAACAAAACACAATACACAAGGCATTAGATATGTGATCGTCATCTTTATCTATTGGATATAATATCAATGTACATAAAAGGTATAATATCAATTTGTGCCTACGTAGTATGCATATTTACAATGTCTTTTACTGCAGGATAATAACGAGGCGCATGGTATATATCTTAGCTTAGTCCTGATAACTTGTTCCATTAGAGTTACATTCGCTTACTATCTAAAAGGAGAACTGGACTGCAATGCAAGCAGGGGGCACAAGATACTATTACATATTTGGGATAAAGCATTTTGGTTTTCGGGCAACAAACTTAATGGGGTTTTTCTTTTTTGCGACTTACCCATATCATCTATAATCGGAGCCATTCGCAAAGTAACCCCAATCAGCATGAGGCACATGAGCAGCAACAAACAGGCGGTGGCAATTATTGTCCAGCGGGCGCGCTGGGACAGATCATGAGGATCGATCACCTGGAAATTGGATATATAATTTATATATTGAGTTAAGGCTTCCCTTTTTGATATTTTACTCACCTTAACAACCTCTGTGTCCAAGTCCTGCACCAAAATTTTTGGTTTTTTGTGCCGATGTCGCTTTTTGTGGCGATGTCTGTGGGTTAAGGATCAAAGCAATAAGTTTCAGTCAAAATATTTTAATAATAATATAATAAAGTCTAAGGCTAAGTTGATTAGGATTTGCTGTTTGTAGTTTCAGAAACCCAAACCCGATAAGAAACCAAAATATCTAAGTCTTAAAAGCCTTCATAAACTTAAATTGATTTTAGAGGTTCGTTCAAGGAAATTACTTGCTGGCTGGGAAAACCATAAATTGATTAAATGCTTGTAAGAGGAAATAAAGTTTCAGTTACTTGGCATTGGTTGCTTCTAATGCTATTTGATGATTATTTCTGGCAGAAATTTTGCACATTAATCTGTTTAGCTTGTGTGCCTGAATGTCTCTCCATCTCTTCCCCCCTTTTGGCCACATATGTGAGCTCTACCTGCAACAGGAGCTTAAACATATTTGCTCTATTTCCGTTTGGGTTTTGCAAAACTTCCGCATTACAAAGCTGCCGCAATTTCCCCTACACCGCAGCCCGCACCAACCCGTTGCTCGTTGCAAAACAACATGGCTCGATTTTTGCAACGGAAGTTGCTCCTGGCTATGGGCGGAAAAAGGAGAGCAGCAATAGCACCAGCGACAGAAACAACATCAGACATCGGGCTCTGCTGACAGTCAATGCCATTGTGCCAGCCAACCACCTACCCACCTACTCATCCACGCTCACCCACTGAACCACCTAAATCCCGTTGCCTTCTCCCTCCACAGAAAATGGTCGCACAAAGCTTGTCAATCAATTTTTGTCTGCTCAACGTCACGCGAACCTCCCAAGGGAAATGTGGATGGTGGTGGTGGCTGAAAAAGGTGGGGCAACGCATTAGGGCATATTTGGCAATCACAATTGCCATCGCACCGCCAATCGGCAGGACATTTATTAGTGCAGCCCAAGGATACGGCCGGCCCTTTGTTGCTGCACCTGTCCAGCCTGTCCGAGCTGTCCAACTGAGCCACCATTCATCCATCAGCTGGGCACACGAAATGCGCTATTATTTATGTGCTTTCCGATCATTTCTCAACTCAAGCCGATTTTGGCGAGGCCATCAAGGCCAATGTGTGTCTTGATGGCTGAAAGGATTTGGGGTATATCCAAGGGAGAGAGTGCTAGCCAACTTACCGATGCTTTCGGCGATGCCGCTGATGACCACTGGGGACCATCTGCTCAAGGTCATCGATTTTATCGGCATCGTCCATGTCGAGGTCCAAGTCCATGTCCATGTCCAGCTGCAGGTCACAGGGTGAGTCCTCACCGTAAGGGCATTGTCTGAGGATAATAAATTACGTTAGTAACCAGGACCTTTGCTATTCGAATGGCTTTCCTTTTCTAGTAGAAAGCTTTGGAACTTTTGCTGTTTATAAAGACTTAAATATCAAGCTAATACTCTAAAAATGCTAAATATAAATGTAAACCTCTTAAACTGAAATATATATTAATCTATTTTAATTCCGAAAGTCCATCAATATGCTTTTCGATTTGCATAATTTAGGGCTTAAACAAAAATTATCATTTAAAAAAAGCTTTTATTATCTATATAACCCGCTTAATCTGTTAAAGTCATAAATTAAAATGAACAAATGACATTATTTTAATTGTTTTAGATAATTATTTAAAACCAAATGTAATTTTATGACTTCTTCCCTGCCTCCATCATCACTTACATGGGCTGCTGTGTGTCCGGATTGATGCCCAGCACATGCACATAATGCTGGAGACCGCTGGGCGTGGGATAGACCAAAGCGGGATCCGAGCAGCGATGATGGCGCTCTGTGGGAGATGAGGAAAAGAAAATCTGAATGATTGAGGGATCCTTCGTAGGAGCTCAGAGTCACTTACTGTACTTCCGCTTCCGCCGGCGGTACTCATCGTCACTGCCCGTGCTCTGGGCCGTTGTCATTGCAGCGGAGGAGGGCATCGCGGATGGCCTGAAGGCTTCGCTTGGTTTCTCCTTCGGCTTCGTTGCACTGCAGCAGCCGGTGGCGGCCACACTGGAACCTGTCGACGTTGAGGTCATCCGGTGTAGTTTTTCGGGCACCAACGTCCTTGTTCTGGCCATCTCCTCCCTACCATCCTCCATGGAAATCACCACAGCACTGGGATCCAAACCAAATTGAGGACGCACTGCCAACAGTCCAGTGCTGCGAGACTTGCGGCGTTCCTGTATCCTACTGCCCGTTGCCGGGGGCGTATTTGCATAACTAGGCGTGGCATGCAACGATTGAGAGTCACTCTGGGCCAACACCGTGCTCACCGTTACGTTGGCACTATCCTCAGAGGTGTTCTGGCGAGAGAAGTACCGGGTGTAGGCCTCCGCTCCTCCTACCCCAAAGTCCCCAGCTGCTCCACTTTCCGTATAGGATATCTGCTTGGGCAGCAGACGCCTTCGCTGCGGTAATGGAGCCGGCAGCGTCTCAATCTCCAAGGCCACGTGAGGTTGCAATTGCTGGTGCTGCTGTTGTTGCTGCAACTGCGGCTGCGGCTTGGCCAAACTGGAGGGAACGTTGATGTGCAGGCGCTGTGGGTTAAAGGAATAGAGTCCTCTTAAGAATATGCAGTTCCATTTTTAAAGAAAAATTAAACTTATTTTGTTTATCCTTAAAAATAAAACCAATTTTCCTTCGTTTACTCACCGCTTGTTGAGGCGACTGCATCGGAAATGAGCGGACCACGTGCCTGGGGAAGATGGGGCTGCATTGAGCACTAATAGACTTGGCCTCCAGGATCCTCAGTCTCTTGGCCAGTCGTGCCCGTTCCCTAGACTCCGCCTCTGTGCCGGAAGGGGTAATCACCTCCGCTCCGCCAAAGCTAACAGTGCAGCGGGAACTGCTGTACGAGAGGCTTTCAAGGCTGCCGCGTAATGAGGCGGTTAAACTGTCGTCCGCCAGCGTGGAGCTGTGAAGGACTCCTCCACTGACTGAGGCGCCTCCTCCCGTGGCGGTGACTGTGGCAGTTGCTGTGGCAGTCGTCGAGGTATTGTCGTGTCCGGAAATCGGGGGCAGTAGTTCCGACTCGCCGTTAATCGTTGTGGAATGTTTAGCGGGGAGCTGGGCCTTGGATCTGACCTCCCCCTCCGAGCTAATGGATCTCCGCTCCGCATCCATTTCCACCTGGTGTGCAGGCGTATGGGTTTGGGCTCGAACCAGTAAACTATGGCTGTGCCTCTGTTGACGCTGGGCTCCGGAAGAGTTGCTCAGCGTGCTGGCCAAGCTGTCTTCCAAGTTCTCCGGGCGCTTTGGATGATATCGCTGCAAGCTGGCCACTGAGCCAGATGCCTCCTCAATATCATCTGTCCGGGCTTTGGTTTTTGTTTTGGCCTTGGTCTTACCGCTACTAGTGGCTGGTGGTGATTGCCGAACTTTTTGTTCCTCCGGTGGCGGGGTATCCTCCCTGCTGGATCGACGACTGCTGCTGCCAAAGAGTTTCTTGGGCAGAAAAATGCGGCCGATTGATTTCCTTTTGCGCCTTTTGGCCTTCTTGTGCTCCTCGTAGTCCCGCTTGAGAGCCTGCATCTTGTGCTCCACCAGAGTGCTAAAGACAGCCTCGTAGGTGAGCGCCCGTTGGAGATCCAGCAGCACATCATTGGTGGAGACGGCCTTGTCCAGTTTGGTCAGCAGCTGCAGGGATTCGGCGCCACTTCCATGACCACTAGCACTCCCACTGCCACCACTGCCACTCTTGCTATCGTCCGCATCCGCCATGTTGGCCTAGATGGATGGTGGCTGGCTCAATGGGTGGCTCAGGCACAGGCACAGGCTCAGGCTCTGGCACTGGCGGTTTGAGGCGGTTGTTGCTGCTGCTGTTGCTGATGTTTTTAGCGCCTATTTGCATTCTACTCGACGCGTTGACACGTTGATCGGTTTGTTTTGTCCTCGGGGTTGTGATGTTGGTAGTGGTGCTTTCTTCGGCTCCTCCTGCTGATGCCTGCCCGTCATCTGGGTGGCGACATCTTTGGATGCGTCAGTGTCATCGCCGCCGCCCCACTGGTTACCTCGTTCTCGTTCTTCTTCTCCTCAATTGCCTTTTCAACAGATTCTCTTTTGTGTGTCACGAAGGCATCAAGTGGCGCTTAAAGGCGACGGCTGCACCTGCAACAACAAGTGCAACAAAACATTAGACCGACACTCCCACTCGATTCAATAGACAATCATCGCCCAATATCCTGCTCCTGCCCGAATCTCCCAACCCATTCAAGGACTCACAAAAGATGAAGCAGTTACTAAAACCGGGGATGGGTAGTATGTAATAGAGGATGGAGAAGCATCCACCCATCCGAGGACAGCTTGCCAATAGTTTTGCTCACTTTTCTGGCTCGGATTCGCGTCTGCCTCTATTATGCATGAGTGTAGCAGATTTCAACTTGTTGCACGCACACCCGCCCTCACAAACATACATACTCGTGCGAACAGGACCCCAATACACGCAAGGGACGGCATTCATGGCATGCTAGCAGCACTCAATGTCGAGTGGTCAGTGATGACCCACATTCCTGGGGCCTTTTTCTGCTTAGGTATGCGGAATGCGAAAATATGGGAGAATATTTAGAAAAATATTTCATCAAAATCTAGGTCATTCCTTGGATTATTTCAATTCGTAGCTTCATTTTCACTTTGATCTTTCTTTCGAATCTATTCGGTAAATTGCTTTCATTCCCGCCAAACCAAACTAAACCAAAGCCAACTGATCATCACTGAAACAGGACAAGTGAATCGAGACCATTGGGCTATGACAGGTAAGTGGGAGTGCGAGTAACTGTTAAAGCCAAGCTCTCATTCGCCGTGTGATATGTGAGTGTATATGTATATGAACTCATATATATGGTTATGGAAGCTGTGGGCCCTAGGCCCATGGGAGAATGGCAGCGACAGGACTCCCTTATGGCCTCCAATGCGCTTTTTTGCGGTCCTTCATTCCCTATGTATATGTATGCATATACACCGAATAAAAACCTCCAATGGAAATGGATATTGTTTTCATTTCCGCAGTGCATAGTCGCTATTGCAATCTCAGTCGCATGCCCCATGAATGTCGACGCCAGCTGTGATGCAAATGGCACACAATAGGGTCGCCACAATAGGCGCCATCAACAGCAGAAGCAGCAGCAGCAGGCTGTGGGCCCATCATCTAAAAAATGATTAAATGCAAAGTAGAAAGAAAATAATGCACAACAATGCTTATGGTACATGGTACATGGAAAAGGCGGAGCAGAACTCTGAAATCCTGAATACTATACTATACCATGTCGTGACTCTGGTAACCGTGAGGCAATCGCTAATTAAACGATATGGTTGGGTAATAGAAAAAGTTGAAGCCGCCAGTTTGCATAAATTTCAGTTAACAGGATCAAATACTACGCCCAGACGCACACACGTTGGTACACTGACAAAAAATTGGAGTTCAATATATTAACTTTTATAGGAGTTAGCTAGGTTAAAGTTTCTTCAGCAAAGTCACTCTCTGCTGATATAAAAATAGCTATAAATATGACGTTCTACAACAGAGTTTAAATTATACCTAATGAACTGTTTTCCTTTTTCTACCTTTCATTTCATTTCCATCCAAATTTGTTCCATATTTTCCCCTTCTTTTTCCTTCTCCTCCTTCAGCAAAGTCACTCTCTGCTGATATAAAAATAGCTATAAATATGACGTTCTACAACAGAGTTTAAATTATACCTAATGAACTGTTTTCCTTTTTCTACCTTTCATTTCATTTCCATCCAAATTTGTTCCATATTTTCCCCTTCTTTTTCCTTCTCCTCACAAACGAAAGTTAACCTGTGACCTCAACAAAACATGAATAAACAGCCAGCAAAGCAAAGATGAACTGAAATCGAATTACCTCAACTAGCTACAGGAAACTTAAGCAAGTCACACACAGCCATTCACCTTGATCCCTTTTGGGATTTGCCTGAAAATTGGCTTAAAGCCATTCACTGACCACAGAACAATTTCAATGAATCCAATCCTCAAAGACCTAACCAAAAAAGAAAACACCGACAACAATAACAATTTTTGTGAGTGCACAGCCTAAGCGTCTTATCTCTGGCCCAAACACAATATCCAACCAGCCAGGCGTGCAAACAATCTAGGCAAATGAAAGAGAGAGAGAGGGGACAAAGCGAGAGAGAGGTATACAGTAGGGGGTGTGGGTTAAAAAAAAAGGGGGGGGATGGCATCGCAAACACACACGCATAAATCCAAACAAAGACCACATGCCTTATGGCCAGGGCCATTGGTAGTACTCTACTACAGCCTCCTCCGTCTCAGGCGGTACAAAAATAAATCATCCGAGGACATAAAACGAAGCCAGGCAAAAATTATAACTGTTGCTGCCACTGCCGCAAAAGTAAATAACAGTTAACAGCGGCAACATCTGTTGTTCTGGCCAACCAAGCAGAGGAAAATTCAACAGTTGTGCAGAAGCAGAGAAAAATCAGGCCTAAAGAGACAGAGACAGGGTGAGTGAGAGAGAGTCCTTTCTCTCTGCGCAACTGCCAGGATTTAAGCATACGCAAATGTTTAGGCCACTGTTAAAATATCCTGCTTGTTGCTGGCTCTGCTTATTCAAGGAATGTTTGCTCCTGCCTGACGATCTCCCCGTGGGTGTGTGTTTATAATGGCATATCTGAACTTTTTAGCCAAGTAGTTGACAGGTTTTTTTTCTCCCCCACTAGATTTATGTGATTGTATTCCGTAGTTTGTGCCCGCTTGCCGGGCTGGACTAACTTTCAGGGCTGTTTTGGGCGAGTTTGGTGTCAATGACAAGCCGAACAAATGCTTAATTGGCGACATACATTGCCTGGCTGTGAGTGGTTTCAGTTTGCGTTGAATGGGTTTATTTAATGACGGTACTCGAAAACTCGACTGCCTGGGGAAAGTTGGAAATGCGCATCTTAATTTTGTGGCAGACTATAGAATAAACTGCAGTTGTATCGTTGTTATGGCATAGCTGGAAAAGGAAAGCTTAAAAGTTAGTTTTAGTTGGTTTTTTCGGAGTTTATTTATTGAATACTTAAAAAGGCTAATGAAAATAGAAAACAAAATTCCAAATTTAGTATACCTGTGATATATTGTTAAAGGAATACTCTTATTAATTAAAGGAAAGTGACAAAAGTTTTCCTAAAATACTAACTAAATTAACATTCAGTATTAGTTGTTTCTCTGGCAGTGATCCAATTTTCCTGTGTACAATTTCCCACAGCAATCAAATGACAAAAATAAATCTACATTTTCGGACGTGTCCGTGTCGTATACGTGATAATCAAGGGCATTTCGCATATTCCATGCCTGGCCAACACCCTGGCCAACGGATGCCCCGAAATACCACGCCCACCAGCTGCCACATAAATACGTAATTGTTAATAATTTCGCACCACAATTACCCGTGCTCAAATCAAGAATGGAATAGTAAATGCAAATGGCTGAAGTTGCAGCCGGATGAAGAGTGTGGCAGTTGGCAACCAGAACCAAAAGCCGGACCTGAAGCTGGCGAATACTTAAATTTAATCAACTTTCAGCTGCCTGATGGTGGGATACTGGATACTGGATATTGCTGCTGATATCCCCGAAACTCTCGGCTGGAGGGCGTTCAATTATTGACGCCCCTTTTCGCCGTCGTCCTTCGCACATTTTTCGGTTTGCCAACAACCGATGCAGCAGCCCAAACATAACAAAAACACACAAAACGAAAGCGAAAAAAGCTGTTTGGCAAATAAAACATGCACATGGCTTAAAACACATGACACCGAAACGAGAGACGTCGGACAAACCAACAAAAAACAAAAAAAAAATTTAAAAAAAGGACACGAAAATAAAGCTGAAAACAGCGTCCTCCTTTCTCCTTCCATCTCACTTTTCACTGGCACACGACGACCTTTGAAATTAGAGTTCTGAGATGTGTACGTAAAGTTGGTGTGTGTCGGTGTGAGTGTGAATGTATGTGTGTAAGGACAAGAACAACACACATTCAAATGAGTCCTTGGCCGCAACGAGCTGCAGCAAAAAAGGATACACCGCCGTCCCCTTGCATCAAGTGCAACTGCCATGGCCCAGCAGCAGCAGCAGCCATCAGCGTGTCAGATAATTAGTGAAAACTGTCTGTGAAGAAATGCCTGTCTGTCGGCAGGTCCAAGGGTCCAACATCAGCAGCCAACGTGTATATTCCGAGGCACATCCACAGATACAGACACAGATATACAGATCTGCATCCATGTCCACGTGCATGTCCACGGCCCTGGCAATGGCAACAGCTGAAATTCAGAACATCTGAACATCAGAACGCCTGTGTAAACCGAAGCCCAGTACGATGGGTGACGTGTGTCTGTTAGGTTGTTTAAACTTGCCAGAAAAGCCAAAATCCAACAATGGAATTTAAATTTTTTTGTTTATTTCTTCTTGCTTTTAGTATCATTAAAGATTGCATTCGTTTTTGAGGAGGCAATGTAGTTACTTTGGGAAGGAATACCTGAACTTTTCCTTAGTCTTCAGATACCATCAAGTAAAAATTCTTTAAAATAGGATATACTTAATTTTCTGTATTTTTAGACTAAAATATTAACCAACCCTAAAAGTTATTTTCCAAAGTTTTCCATAAGTAAACGCAATAGAGACCTTTGCCACCCTAACACAGTTTTTCCCCCTCAAATGAAGTAATTTAAATGCAGAAAAATATATAATTGGAGGAATGCTGTGCAATTATTCCGAGCCTTGATCCCATGGTGTAATTTTGCCTTTTGTGGAACGTCTGAAATGCAGGTTGACAGTTTTATGACACACAGGCTCGTATGCATGCCTTTGCGACACTTTGATGTGTGAGTGTGTGTGTGTGTTGCAGCAGTGGTTACTGTTACAAGGAAACTGTGACAACTGTGGACACGGGCTAGTTTCTCATCTCCTCCTGCTGCTGATGCTGCTGCTTCTACTACGACTGCTGATGTGCTGCATCAGCTCAAGTTCACATATTCCCCAAACTGGTAGAAGGATATCGAGTTTCCTGACCCGACCTTGAACCCAGGCTTCAACTCCAATTGGGGTTGGGCTCACATGACGTATGAGTAATGGTTTTCCCATCAGGGAATTCTGGCGAA